CTAACCACAACAGAACCAGCAATGCTGCTTGGCACGTGGGGTCTCTTCTCCGTTGTTTACTGTTCCCCACGCTGAAGACTTTTTGAACGGGGAGCTCACCACCATCAGTAACTGATGCAGGCTTCTGCGTTGATGACAACACAGCGCCTGCCTTCTCTCCACGTGTGAATGTTTCTCTCTTCACCCAACCATCGCTCCTCCCACGTGCCACAAAAGTACTGTTCACGGAGACCGCGTCAGGGCCAGGCGCCAGCTGCGTGTTCCACGGGCATCATCTGGGTTGGTCATCACACGACCCCGTGAACCGTGTCCTCTTATCCCCCCATTTCACAGATGGGGTAAGCGAGGCTTAGAGAGGTTGACCAGTACTCTCAGGTCATACACGAGTAATGCCGGGCCTGCTGTCCCCAGGGACCAAGCCCTTCAGACTAGGCTGGGGTGTCTCAACTTCAGCACTGTTTGCATTAGTACCGGATAATTCTTTGTTGTGGGGACCGTCATGTGCGCTGTAGGTTTTGCCAGCATCCCTGGCCCCACCTGCTAGGTGCCAGTGACACCTTCCAATTAGTCCTAGTGCTCAAAGAATGCCTCCAGACACTGCCGTATGTCCCCTGGGTAGACAGATAGGGGTGAAATCACTCTAGTCGAGAGCTGCTGCCCCAGGCTGGTTCCTTCTTGCCTCCTGGAGGTGGCCCTAGGCCATTCCAAGGTCAGCCCTGGGCCTGGACCCCGACCCATCTCATGCCTGCCTCTTTTGGACCTTGGCTCCTCCAGACATGTCTTCTTCTTTTTAAATGTCTATTTATTTTGAGAAAGAGAGAGAGCATGAGTCGGAGACAGGGGCAGAGGAAGGGAGAGAGAGAGAATCCTAAACAGGCTGTATGCTCAGCACAGAACCTGATGCGGGACTCGATCTCACAACAGTGAGGTCATGGCCTGGGCCGAAATCAAGAGTCAGATGCTTAACTGGACTGAGCCTCCCAGGCGCCCCCAGACATGTCCTCTTAAGAGCCCCTTTCCTCTCTGCTGTTCCATCCAACACAAGACATGAAACCCGGGCTGGGTGTTGCGGCCCGTGTGGTCCCAGCCCTGACAGCTGCGGCCGGATGGGCATCTCCCAGAGAGAAGTCTGCTGCCCCCACCTGCCAGGCTGCTCGCTTCTCCTCATGCAGGGGCTGACTTCCAGAGACTCGCTAAGCGCAGAGTCCTTAAGGTCCAACCTCGACCACCCCTCCCCATCATCAGTTCCCCTCTTCCAGGGCAGGAGCAAAGGGGCTGGAGGGCCAGGAGTGGACCCCCCTCTCCTCAATCCCTCAGTGGCCTATCCTTGAGGAGGCGAGGCTGCCCACACCACCTCTGAGTTACCTTCTGTAGGTGTGGCCATGTCTGTGTGCACCGGGGTGCAGGGACGGGGGGTGGTGTCTATGACTGGGCCAGACCCCCAAATGGAGCTGTCAGGAGACAGCTCAGCGCACACCGATCTAGGCCAGGCCAGCCTGAGCAACCACGGCTACCTTCCTGAATCCATTTCTGACTCTGAGGTTCATTTAATAAACCCATTCATCACCAGCCATTCTGGAAGGCTGACAGGTTGCAGAACGGGAATCGGAAAACCTCTCCTCGCTTCCTGCCCCACCTGCTCCCGTGTTCTGCTTCCCTCCCTCCTCCCTCGCAGATGTGGCTCCTCCGAGAAATCATGAGGCTGAATTATTTCAGTGCCGGTAAACACCAGCTAATGGAAAGTCCATTCAGTGTAAAGGCTTCCATACCCTGTCTGTGCATGTGCGTTCTCCCCTTGGGGGTCTTGAGGTGATCTCTTCTGAGCCCAGCCCCGGCCCCCGTGGGGGTCACCATACGCCTTCCTTCCCGAAAGGCATTAGTGGATGGGGTGTCTCCGATGTGAAAAAAAACACCACCCCCCTCCCACCCTCAAGCCTTCCCTAGCACTTCCCTAGCCCCTGGGATACTAAAAAAGAAGAAATGCCAAGATAAGCTTTCAGAAATTGTGGTATATGTCAAGTTTTTATGTTTAATTAGTTAATGCTCTTAACATACACATACACACAAAGACAAAGTCAGTGTATTGTGGTAATCAAGATAATTACAGGATTTATTTTTAAAATGCTAATTCATGGTTTACAGCAAGCTGTGTGGGTGGGTAATGGGTCAGGGGGATGGACCTTATCTTCTTTCCACATCACTGACTGTGTGTTTAGCCTCATTTCCCGACAATGGCAGAAATCTAAAGCTGAGGCCAGTTGTATGGTGGGCCTGGGCAGTGGTTCCCTGGCATTCCTGCCCTTGGGCCTGGGCCTGGGCTTCGGGCTTTTCTCTCCCCACCCTCCCCTCCTCGTACAGAATTCTTTGGACACACACCCAAGATCTGCTTCCACTTTCTAGATCACACTGCAGATGTCTGGAGCCCCAGAATCCCCCACCGAAATGGCCGAAGCCTGAACTGAGGACCTGCATGGATCTCCTGGGGGTACCCTGTGTCCCTAGCACGCTACCTAGGTCCAAGGGGGTGACCAGCAGAGACGCATATGCAGGTGCAGGAGTTCACAGCAGGGGACAGAGCCAGGGTGGGAAGAAAAGGGGAACAGGCACCGGCTGGTAGGCCGCATTGTGTGTACCCCACCCCCCTGCCCTGGCATGGAGTCCAGAAAACGTGGGCCTCCACTCATGCACTTCCCCAGTTCCCATCAATGTCAGGGAGGTGCCTACTGTCTGGTCCGATCCCCCCTCCCCAGTCCCCAACATGGGGTGTGACCCTTGTTTCCAGTGGGAAGTGACCAGCTCTGTGCTGTCAGAGTGGAGCTGATCTACAGTTTTCTATATTTGTGAGGGATCTCAGGGACAGACACTGCCTGTGATTAAACTTGAATAGAAGGGTGCTGGAAGGAGCCGTGACTGTGGCAGCAACAGCGACAATAAACAAGCTGGAGATGGTCCGGGACCGCTGACCAGTTCGTGACTTTGGATAACCTCTGTGAGCCTTTCGTCGTCTGTAAAATGAGGATAATAATAATAATACTTATCTAGTAGGATTCCTATGAAGACTAAATTAATCTGTGGAAAGCCCCCGGAACAGTGTCTTGCACACAGTAAGTGTTCAGCAAATGCTAGTCATCGGTAACAATGTCATCATGGTTATTGTTTCACCTCTGTGCATACAGACATCTTTCCCTTTCAGTTTACCCTGGAGGGAAGCACATGGCGTGTGTAGTATGGTGATGTTCAAGGCCGGTGGAGAATTTATTGATGTGTTCCAAGGAGTACATTCCGTAACATTTATTATTTAAAAAATATATATATAGGTCTAGAAATAGATGGAAGAGTATAAAGGATCCCCTGGACCCTTGCCCAGGCTCCAAGAAGTCTCAATTCACAGCCAGTCTATTTTCATCTGTATTTCCATACACTCCCCTGGTCTAGATCTTCTCCCAACACCAGCAATTTGAAAAGGGACACAGGAGGGACGCCTGGGTGGCTCAGTCGGTTAAGCATCCGACTTGGGCTCAGGCCATGATCTCACAGTTGGTGGGTTCGAGCCCCACACCTGGCTGTGTGCTGACAGCTCAGAGTCTGGCGCCTGCTTCGGATTCTGTGTCTGCCCCTCCACTGCTCACACTCTGTCTCTCTCTCACACAAAAATAAGTAAACATTTAAAAATTTTTTAATGAAAAGGGAATCCACACATAGAACCCAACCATAGAGGATGGTGGCTCCCACTGAACCGGTGGCCCCATCCAGGTATCAGGGACAGGGAAGGTTCCAGATCAGGAGAGGCAGTGGTCTGCATCCAAGTGTCTGATGGGGCAGCAGAAGGACCCAAGCTTGGGAGCGAAGAGGAGAACACAGGAAAGACGCTGAGGATGTCACTAGCTAGCAGAAGTCAGGAGAGGCGCCAAGGCTGGGGAGTGGCTGCCATCAGCTGGGGGAGGTGCAGAACAAGGAACAGATGAGCACTGGGTCAGCTTATGGGGCATATGGACCTAGAACAGGAGGCCAGCCAGCTAAGGGACCCTTTCTCCATTCTCGGACCAAGGAGAAGTGGCTGCCAAGTGGCCTGGTCCAGAGGCTGACGGCCAACTGCAGGGGTGCAGCGGGGAAGGAGTTCAGTCCTTGATGGGTTCTCTCAGCAGCTCCCCTCAAAGCATCCAACTCACCGGTGACCCTTGCTCCGTGATGAGGGCAAAGGGCAGCTGGGCCCCCACTTGGCAGCCTGGGAAGGACCTTGTGGAGTTTCACGTTTTCATCTCCCTGACCTAAGAAACAGGAGTGGCTTGGGCTTCTTCAGCACTTAGCTGCTCTCTGATCTCTGGCATTGCATGGAATAAGTGAGGCATGTTCCTTGTAAGGACTCTCCCAGAATGCCCCTTTCCTCTCCCACCCTCCTTGTCCTTTCACCTTTTCAGTTCCCCTCCCTGTAGGAGCTCTGCGCTAAGCCATCTCCTCCTGGAGTGCTGGAGTTCACACCCCTGCTGTGATGATGTTCTGTCTCCTGACTCCCTCTGCCCTTCCGCTCCCTCCCGCGGCACACTCCCTCTTCCCTTTGTCCTGCTGTGGGCCTCTTAACAGAACACTCAGGCTTTCAGGGCACCGATTTGGCCTCCCTGCCAGGTCTGCTCACGGTGTCAAGTGTGGGGAACAGACCTGGATCTGACCAAGAAACTGCTGACCACACAGCTGGGCTGCGGTGCTGTTCAGGCTTCGCCACCTCAAGCCCAGAGTTGTTCCGTGCCTCCCAGAGGTGGCCTGCATGCCCAGGCCAGTCCCCTTCACAGGTGTGGGGATGGAGAGTTCAGTGGGGCTGTGACCTGCGAGCCTCTGGCTGTTGAGTCCCATTGTTCAAGGTGACTTTGTTGACCATCTGTTCCTGCTGGGACCCCCAGTGCTTTATACCACCAGGCTTCGCTAATTATCACACATAGTCCCGGGAGTGCCCCACCAGGCTTCTGAGGATCCTGATGTGAACCTTCTGGCCTCTTCTCCTCCAGATATGGGCCTTCACATACACCCAGCAGATCCTCCAGGAGGAGCTGTGCCTGTCCGTCGTCACCATCTTCCCTGGAGCCCCGGTGGTTCTTGTCCTCTGCAAGAATGGAGATGACAGACAGGTAAGTGCTCACTGGGCACACAGGGGCGTGGCTACCTGCAGCTTCCAGACTGCCTGAGTAAGGTCAGAGGCTCGAGTGTGCAAGACAGGAGAGAAACTGTAGAAGAGGAGGGGTTGATCAGAAAGATACCCTCCTGGTTAGGAGAGGTGGTCGGATTGCCCCTGAATGCCTGTGGACTTCGGCAGACCACAGTGTGCACGTGCATCTTGTACCCTCCTGCGTAGCTCTGATGCCCACCTGGCACTCCGGCTCTGGGGTGCCTTCAGGGCCACAGGGATGAGAAGTGCTTTAACTTTGCCTTCAGAAACCTTGTGCTCTGGCAGGATGTCCACCAAGATTCGTAGCACTCTGGATGTGCCATGTGCCCAGCTGACCCCAAGTTGTTAACCCCACACAGTTTCCTGCCAACTGGGTACTGGCATTAGAGAGACAGAGATTCCAATGCCCTTTTATGATTCATTGGCTGTGTGACCCACAGCAGGTTACTGGACCTCTCTGAGCTTTGGTTTCTTCCTCTGTGAAGTTAGTTGATGATGCTCCCCCCATGGGGCAGCTGTTTAGAGCGATGAACTGAAGTGGTCCATGGTGCCTGCTCAGTGGTGGTTCCCCGAAACGTGTCCATCCCCCCCACTTGTTGGGTAAGAGGAGGTCTGGGGAGCAGAGGCATGAGCTCCCCTCTCTGCCTGGGCCCTTCATGTGCTGGAGTGCTTTGGAGGAGCACAGGTTCGTGGCATCAGGTGCTGCCCAGAAGCCTCTCTGCCCTCCTGCACCCCATCCCCCAGCTCACTCCCACATCTTCCTGCCGTGCAGACACTGAGGGCACATCATCTCTCTGGGTGCTCCTCTGACTAACATGCTTCATGTTTTCTGGCCTGTGGCTTAGAAAGTTACTGCCTTCTAATGAGTTTTCCTAGCAAACATATTGATTTTGCTTTTACTTTTTTATCTGGAGGGGAAAAAACAAACAAACAAACAAACAAAACCAGAAAAACCAACAGTACCTGGCAAAGCAATTAGTTGCAGTTTTATTCCTCCATGAGACCATGAAGTCAAGTCTCTGGGTGACCCCAGCCGTGCGGTGTAAACACGGCTGATTGTTCTGGAGCTGCTGATGTTGTCGATAGGACCTGGGGCCTTAGCCGGAGAATCCCGGTTCACTCTCTCTCCTCTCCGTCTTCTCAGCAGTGGACCAAGACTGGTTCCCGCATAGAGCACATAGCATCCCACCTCTGCCTAGACACGGACATGTTTGGTGATGGCTCCGAGAATGGCAGGGAAATCGTTGTCAACCCATGTGAGTCGTCACTTATGAGCCAGCACTGGGACCTGGTGAGCTCTTGAGGACCCCGTGCCTGAGCCAGCGGGGCCGTGGGTGACGTTTCCCAGATGAGAAGCAGACCAGAAATCAGGCCACCAGCAGCTCCCAACTACTGTAGTAGATGCCCTGCATGGGGAGGTAGAGAAGAGCCCCTGGACAGGAGCAGGTGTCTCAGGGAGGATGGAGGAAAGGATTGTAAGCCACGTGGGGCTCAGAGACAGATTTCACGTGCTCTCCGTGCTGCTGAGTTCCAGTCCTGGCCCAGTCTTCACCTCGCTGGAATCTGGCGACCAAGATGTAATGGGAAGTGTTTATGTTGTTCCCTTTCTTACAAAGGAAGCCAGAGAGAAAAGCCTTTTTTTGTCACTGGACCAGGACTAAATTGAGAGATGAAGAATGGAGGTTGTTTTCAAAACAAATAAAGGAACCTTAGATGTTTTCTCTGTGCATCTATTTGTTTCTACTTATGTAAGTTCTGGGCTAAGCTAAGTTCTTCATTCAGAGGGGACACGTGGTGGGGCGGAGGCTGCAGGGTCTTTGGGCAGAGCAGAACTTTGGGTTCTTGCAGGGTCTTGCAGGGTCTTTGGGCAAAGAGAACAGGTCCATGAGAGACTCATGCTCCTATCTTGGGCTGCCACCAACAGCCTGTGTGACCATGAAAGACACACAGGGGCACCTGGGTGGCTCAGTCGGTTAAGCATCCAACTCTTGGTTTCAGCTCAGGTGATGATCTCACGGTTCGTGAGTTTGAGCCCTGGTTCGGTCTAGGTGCTAGTAGTGTGGAGTCGGCTTGACAGTCTCTCTCTCCCTCTCTCTCTGCCCCTCCCCTGCTCACTCACTCGCTTTCAAAATAAGCAAGCTTAAAAAAATTTTTTTAATTAAAAAATCACATACACACAACTGCTCTGCTGCTTCATTTCCCAACATGTCAAGTAGGGAAACAGGAGCAGATCCATGGTTCTTACCCAGAGATACGTTCTCTCATCCGGACAAATCATGTCTATTTAGGGGCTCAGATTCCAGCTGTGGAGATCCTGCTTTGGGAGGTCCAGGTGGGGTCCAGGCTCCTCAGGTGATTTGGATTCTCCTCCCTGGTTGGGACCACTGCCCTAGATGTTGCTCTGGGCCCTCCTGGCTTTATAGTCTATGGCCACTAGCATATGACTTTCTTACTCTAATAAATCCCCAATGTGCCCTAGGAATTGGGTACTATGTTCGT